CTTTTTAAACAAATATTTGTGCAGCAGAATTCTAATTCATGTGAAGATTTTTAAAGCTGGGATTGAAATTTGCAAGAAAAGGAGAAGAGAAGAAGAAATTTAACACCTTTCCTTCAAAACTAAGGGAAACTGGTTTGAACACTGGCTTGGAGATTTCAGTTATCCCCTCTCATATTTCTACATACAGCTACTGTGTTTTAAGTGTTGAGCATCTTTGCAAGACATGTCATTTATTCAAGAATTTAACTGTAGATTAAGAAGAGCCCCAAAAGCATTCGACGTAATTAATACAGTAGTAATATAAACAGAGAAATTAAAATTCCATCATATTCTCCAGGGACAAACTGGCATGATTTATAAAGATTATGGTAATAATGCAGTAGCAGTAGATAATAACAGTGCAATAATAAACCTTAAATTCTCTTTCAGCCAATAACTAAGCACCAGAATGTCAGCTAAACCTTTAAGCACAAGAACATCAACGCAATGTTTTGTGCTGAGCTGGTCGTTAGTTCAGAGAAGACCAACACTTATGCAATGCAAGAAAGAATAAGGCATCACCTCTTCCAGGTTGGCCATGCACATGACGTAGAGCTTGGACGGGAACGGGAAGGGCAGCGGGAACCTGTTGCTGTCGCTGCGCTGGCTGTGGGTGGCCAGGGAGTGGCGCAGGGAGCCCCGGCCGATGCCCAGGCAGCCGTCGGTGACCAGGACAACCTGCGGGGACAATGGGACACTTCCAGCCGCACCGCCCACCCAACACCCACACACTGCAGGAAAATCCCTGCTCCCACCGGGTTTCCTCCACACAGCTGGGCAAAGAACTGCTGGCATGATTTCCAGACAGAACCCCACATCAAGGAGAAACTGAAGATTGAACCCTCGTGGTTTACATGGTGTGCATGGTAAATAAATGTTTTCTTGGTATTAGGTAATTGCACCAAAATTTGTATCTCATATATTTCATTAAGTGTACACTAGAAAGACAGTGACTACACAGCCAAAAACCAGCCTCTTGCTGTTGGACTCGATGATTCCAGGTTTGTTTTCAGATGGATGGTAAAGCCCATTTCTTCTGCAGAATTTGGAGAGCAACCCAACTTCCACTACAAGCCACAGAAACCTCAAAAAAGGGTAGCATTAGTGATCTTAATTCTTTGCAAATACAGCTGCATTATGCTCATATTTTGCAGCAGAACTACTACAGCAAAACCACACACTTTTCCATTCAATTGCACATCCAGAGCCAATCCCTGTGGAAACCTGCACTAATTACACTGAATAATGGGATTATTTACACTCAGCTGTGACCCAGTCACTTTCAGAGGAGTAAAAAAGCTGCTCCTTTAATGCTGCATGGCAACAGCAAGCATGATTTCTGGCTGGTAGATAAGGAAAATCAAATCCAATTGAAACTCCATGTGTAATTGCTACATCCAGATTTGTACTCTCCCTTCATCCTCAGTCCCTCTCAGTCTCCTCAGAACTGGTGCTCACCAGTGATGTTTTCCACTACTCCAGGGCTGCACAGCACATTCCTCATTGCCCTCCTCCACCCCAGCACCTAAGTGCCAGTAAAATGAGCTATGACACAAATGAGAGACAAAATAGTTGAGGTCTAATCTCTGCTTGGTTTTCACATCTTTCTTGTTCTTTGCTTCCCAAGGTGCCTTTTGTCCCTGTTGGATGATGAAGCACTGCTTAACCAATAAACTTCTATACTTTTTTCTCCATAAGGAATATTGCTTCAGGCATCTTCCCAGCTCACTGAGCTGCAAAATTGCTGAACTTAAATCAAGTGTCTCAGAAAACCCAGGGTTAAAAGCAAACTCTGCCATAAAAGGCAGCAGATTTGGAAGGTTGAGAGCTTGCAGGGCTGAATTGGGTTTGTGAGCAGCTGCATGGCAAATGACTCATTTGGGAGAGAAGTCAGATCAAAACACACTCAGCAGCAGCCCCACACTGTTGGCTGAGAGCTGGAATTGTTACAAGCCCTGGAAACCATCAGGGAAAGGCTCCTGAAGTGGGACTACACCTTTTCCAAGTGCAGTGAGGCTCCTGGGACAGCAGACTGCATCCAGATCAAACACTAGGCCTACACAATAGCGCTCCTGAGCCACATTTTACAATCCACTGCACTACAAGAACACATTGGGCAGGAAACAGTATCTTCTTTTTTTTTTTTTTTCTGCTGAATATTTTATAAAGATCACCTTCTGTTCATATTGCAGGTTTAGCCAAAATACTAATTCTTTGTGCTTGTGCAGCACCAGAATGCCTGAGAACATTCCAAACTTTCAAATTACATTTACATTTCTATGTGCAACTCGCAGGAATGGAATCAATCACAGGATCACAGGATGGTTTGTGTTGGAAGAGGTCTTAAACATCACCAAGTTCCAATCTCCCTGCCAGGGGTAACTAAACATGCAGTGAACTTAAAGCAGTGCAATCAGCCATACCTGGCAAGGAATTGCTGCCCCCCATTCCTGCTGAACAATATTGCAAACCCCCAGCAGCGCCGACTCCAAACAGGTTTTGTCATAATCATCCATGTTACTCAGGGCTTCCTGCAAAGACAAACACCACAGTCACTGCTGGGGGAACATCCCTGCCAGGAGACACCCAGCAGGCACTCCTGGCTTTGAAGGAGCTGTAATATTATCAACACAGCTCTTTAAGAGTGAAAACCACCTTTGCATGTCTTAAAAAAGTGAAAACCTGAGGCAACATCGAACAGGAAACATTTAGCTGAGAAAATCCTCACAGGTGTCAGAGCAGAGACCACAAGAAGTTTGTTTCACAAAAACTCTTTGGCAGAGAAAAACAAACTCAAAACTCACATCTGCACCCATAAACCAGCTTTTCTCCTAGAAGTAAAAACCTCTCACTTAACACAGCATCACCAGGGTGCAGCTGTGAGATGAACTTGCTAAAGGAGCCTGGCTGGGCTCCTGGCTTGCAAAATTCCTCCAATGAGCCTTTAGGGAAGTGAAAATTAATCTGCTAAACTGCAAACATAACAGAGAACAGCTTTTAAAATCTCTTTGCCCAATGGACAAACCCAAACTATGGTGCCCTGTGACACAAATGTGTCATTTCCTCCTGCATGTGAGGGTCAGATATAAATGTACAATTTTTACTGGATTCAGAGGCTCCGGGGCCTTACTGCATTCATGTGAAATTTCCCTCTTGGACTTTCTCCTTTCCATTTCTTCCTCCCAATTTCCTACTGCATCTCTGAGGCCTAAAATCACTTATTCTCACTCTTGCACTCTTTTGACTTCTACACACTCTCAAGAGCAGCTTCTCTCCATCAAATCATTTGACTCAAAGCCTTTCTAAATGGTCCTGTCAGCTGCATTGTTTATCAAGAGCAAACCAACAACTACACATAAAAACAGGGACATCACAGACCCACTTGGAGAAGTTCATCAGGCAGCCCTTCCCTCCATCCCATTTCAGAGTCAATCAGCCACACCCCAGTGCTCACCTGCAAAGGTGCAACTGGCGAAATTCAGTTTCAAACACACTGATTTCACCTGCCCTTAAAATTAGGACAGACCCACTCAATTCAAGACGTTGTGCACAGGATGATATCAAATCACACAGCTTCACTCTGCTTTGGTGGTAGAATTGGCTGATTTTAAAAAATGACAAAGGCTTATTGCTTTAGTGTTCACAGCCCCTACCTGGAGCGTGTTGTAGTCTCTTGTGAAAGGCACCATGAGCTCCCAGAGGGATGAGAACACCACCAAGGCCGTGAACTCCAGCTTGTAGTTGGTGGCCATGTGCTCGAAGAGCATGGTGAGCCCGTGGGCAGCCAGGTGCTTGCGCTGGTACTCCTCGGAGCCCTCCACGGACACGGGCCGCGTCATGGACAGCGACACGTCCATCACCACCACCGTGGGCATGGCGAGCCGCTCCTCCGCCGCCCTCACGGACGGCTCAGCCGGGACCTCCTGCCTGCAGCGGGAGGGAAGGCACAAAGCATTACCAAAGCTGACCTTGTGGAGCTCGCCCCCTCACGCTGACCCAGGGGAGAAGCGACAATTACCCTTTTCCCCCTCACGACGCGGGGCTGAGCACGGATTAGCTAAATACACGCTGAACCCCACACGGCATTTCCAGCCGGCTGGAGACGGCAGGAGCTGAGCCTCGCTGGGGAAAAGGCGCAGCCCTGCCGCTCCGAGGGCGGTCGGGCAGGGATCCAGCCCTCCCTACGAGCCTCGGCCCTCAGCGGGGCTGTCCCCGAGCGCGGCCGGGGCCGAGCGGCGCGGCGGAAGGGAAACGCTGCTGCACAGCCCGGCCCGCCGCGCCGCCATGCGTGCGGCAGGGAAAGCGTTCCCCCGGAAAAGCCGGGCCGCGCCGCGCGGGAAGCGGGAATGCGGGAAAATGGGAATGTGGGATGGCCGGGCTGGGGGAACGCGGTGCCCACGTAAAATAAGACTAAAATGACCGCTGTGTGTGGAGAAGGCTTTATGGATAAGCATCCCGGCTGGGCAGTGCGTCTCCTTCTCCCCGTTCTGTTCGTGTGGGAGTGAGGGGGGCCGGGAGGCAATAAGTTCCAGTGCAAAACTGGGATGTACTCTTGAAATTGTGTGTTCGGAAAACAGTTTGCTTTAAAATTATCAGAGATTCACAGAATAGTTTAGCTGGAAAAACCTTCTAAGATCATCAAGTCCCACTATTGCCTCAGCACTGCCAAGGCCACCATAAACCGCCGCCAGGTGCCACATCCATACAGCTTTTAAATCCCTCCGGGGATGGGGACTCCACCACTGCCCTGGGCAGCCTGCTGCAATGCTGAACACGCCTTTAGCAGAGAAATTTTCCCTAATATCCAAACTAAATCTCCCCTGGTACAACTTGAGGTTGTTCCCTCTCCTCCTGTCCCTGTTCCCTGGAGCAGAACCCAATGCCCACGGCTGTCCCCTCCTGTCAGGAGCTGTGCAGAGCCACAAGGTCCCCCTGAGCCTCCTTTTCTCCAGGCTGAGCCCCTTCCCAGCTCCCTCAGCCACTCCAGACCATTCCCAGCTCTGTTCTCTTCCCTGGACATACTCCAGCACCTGAGCATCCATCTCGCCATGAGGGACCCAAAATCAAATAATAAATTTCTAATTCTCCTGTGATAAATCTGACTATTAGATTGTTGTGGCTGTTAAATCATTGGCCAGGGATGTTATTTCTTCCCCTGTGGAGCTGCACCACATCAGTGCCACAGAAGAGTCATGGGCACCATCCCCAGGTCCCTGCCTCAGTGCTCCTGGCATAGGCCCTGAGGGATTTTTCCAGGAGCCAACGAGTTTTAAACCTTGCTCTGGCATTGCAAAGTGGTCATATACTGTGGCAAAGACCAGCAGAGCTGCTTTTCTGGCATCTGGGCTGTCAGCCACCGGAGATGCCTCAAAATGCAGCTCCATGTGGCTTGTTTAAAAGTGTTTATAAATGTGATTTACCCGCTGCCAGTGCCGTGAGGGTGATCCGTGTCCATGGCTGGTGCTTCAATCCAGGAGTTTTTGAAGGGGATAATCACCTGTCCTCACACTGAGAATAACCTGTGGTAGCAGACAAAGGTATTGGCTTCAGAGATAGACCCAAATCTATACAATACTATTTAATCTTCTTAGGGGCTGTGGGTATTAAACTGGATTGGGAATTCCTCCACTAACATGTCCTTCACACCTGACCCGCTCTTGTTTTAGGACTCTGCCAGCAGAGGAGACATCCTGAAAATGGGATCATTTCCCCCCGCCTCTCTCTGCAACAGCATCTCCCATCTGGCTGTTAACTACCAAAGAAGCTTCCAGCACTACACCCAGCCCCTGGAACTCCCCTTCTTCCTGGACAAACATTTGGAAGGTAGGCTGGGGAGGTTTGCTTGATTGCTTGGATTTTGTGTTACTGAGACAGGAGGTGAGAAAAGGAGTTTATCAGGAACTGATCTAAACTTAGAAGACTAGAGAAACAACTCTTCTGCATTCTTCTGGTCAGGAGTTGTGAAAGGCTGCAGAGCTCTTAGAACTGATCCTGGCTTTGGATTTCTTTCTGCTCACAAAACGTCTTTTAAGAAGCTCATTTTGGAGAGAAGTAAAATCAGTATTTAAATAGGAGTGTGTACATAACTGTGTTCTCTCCGTGCCATCCTTTTAACTCTCCTGTCTTTATTAGGGAAAGTTATTTTCTCTTAATATGCAATTTGTTATACCTCTTGTGATGTTCTGCCACATATATGTTTCTTTTCTTTTTATGTATGAAAAGCAAAGCTTGTGTCATCTGTTTATCTAGGTACTCCCATGACCCTCTCTTACTGTTGCCTTAGTGATCCTCCCAACTATTTAAATTAACATTGCCTGTTTTGCAAGAAATTTAGGCTGATACCTTCCCTGGGTGTTATGCAAGAGGGTAAATGTGTGATAACTTGCATGAAGAGCTTATCTGGGAATGGCTTAGAAAACTATGATTCACAGCTAAAGAATAATGTAACATGCCCACTCTGGAGAAAAAAAAAAATCCATGGAGAGTGTCATTCTCAGGTAAAACATTCAAGCAGTGCTGAAGAGTGAATTCTGTCCAGCCCCAAAACCCTGTCCCCATGCTGTCACAGCTGCAGGCACTGTCACTCTGGCATTTACAATTTCTCCCTTTCTAAATGCTGTTCACATAATTATGCAAGATATGCTAATTACCCCCTAATAAAAGGTATGATTACAATTCCACTTTGCCAGTTCTGATTTCTACAGAAAGCCCTGAAAAGATGTAGTCATAGAAACAAATGGCTGCTCAGCACTCCCAGTTTTACTAGAACCATGGTCTTCTCACCCTCTGCTCAAACTGAAGGAAAAACCTCACCCTTCCTTGGATGGTTTCCTGGGAAGTGAAAGGCTGGAGAGCCACGGAGCAGCATCACATCTAAACCAGTTTCCATCCTCCTGGGGTTATTTTGGTGAATAACTGGTTTAGCAGGGAGGTTTGAACAGCTTGGTCTTGTCTTCAGAGCATCATTTTTAGCAATTTAAAGTTGGTTCTTTGACAGAAGCCATATCCACTCTTTCTGCACAACACTGACCCAATTGATAATATTACAGAATAATAACTGGACTCTGATCAATGCAGTCCTTAACAGCTCCTGGATATGGACATTTGGTGGAACCAGAATTCAGCTTGGATTGGACTGCCTCAGACAACTCCATTCTCTTAAGCCAAATCTTTGATTATTAATCAGCATAGCCTACAGTCATATTAAAAAATAGAATGAAACCTGGATCTAGATATCTCTTTACTCATTTAAGTCCATTTCTTTTTATTGAAAAATAGACAAGCAGTCAGTGAAGTGTTGCTGCCCAAACGGTGGAAAGTTGCAGTACTTCGTTTTTCACACCCGATTTTCTTTTGCAGGATTCCCCATTTTGTGCTGTGCAGTTCCACTCCTGATGCTTCAGATCAGAAAACTGCTGACCAAGTGAAGTCTTCAGTGTCTTCTGGACACAGCTCTGAGTTTTGAACCTTTAGGAAATGCATTTACCACGGAGGAGGCGGCTACGCAGGAACCGAATCCTTTTCTTGCTTGCCATAGTGTTGGTCTTCTCTGTCTGCCAGCTCCAGTTCAGCCCCTCTGCCCTTCCAGCATCACACAGAGCCCCCCAACCCACAGACCCTGTTAAAGTGACCTCCAGGGACCTCCCCAGCAACAAGACTGCTGTAAGAGGCAATGCCACAGCACCCAAAATAAGACACTGCATCTATGTGGATCCTGAGCCAGCCGTGCCCGTCACCACGTCAGTGGGGACAACACCACAGCAAGAAAATGCCAGTGAAAGTTCCCCAGATGAAAAACCATCCTATGAGTCCAAAGGAGAATATCCCCAGGACCTGTTCAGTGTGGAAGAACGCAGGCAAGGGTGGGTTGTCCTTCACATCTTTGGCATGATGTATGTGTTTGTGGCCTTGGCCATAGTGTGTGATGAGTATTTTGTGCCTGCTTTGGGAGTGATCACTGAGAAGCTGGAGATCTCTGAAGATGTGGCTGGAGCCACCTTCATGGCAGCAGGTGGATCAGCACCAGAACTCTTCACGTCCCTCATAGGCGTCTTCATCTCACACAGCAATGTCGGCATCGGTACCATTGTGGGCTCAGCAGTGTTTAATATCCTCTTTGTCATTGGCACCTGTGCCCTCTTCTCGAGGCAGATACTCCACCTGACATGGTGGCCCTTATTTAGAGACATCACATTCTACATTGTAGACTTACTGATGCTCATCCTGTTTTTCCTAGACAGTGTCATTGATTGGTGGGAAAGCCTCCTTTTACTGACTGCCTATGCCACATACGTGTTCACCATGAAACAGAATGTGTTCCTGGAGCAATGGGTGAAGCAGGAGCTGAAAAAGAAGCTAAATGCTGTGCAGGCAGCACCAGCAGAGCATCTGCAGAAGGTTGGTGTCCTTAGAGTTCAGAAAACAAGTTGGAAATAACTAGTGTAAACCACAAAGAAAAACTGCATCTCCTTCACAAAGCACATATTTGAACCTCAGAATACAGGTACTAGTAAAAAATTATGGTTTTAAAATTGGGGAAATGCAAACTAGAGAGATTCTAAGAAATTGGAGAACATCACTAAAAGGGAGTTCTACCTGTGCCATTACTAAATGTCTCTTAGCGGCTTTCAGAGATGTGTGGGATTTTGCTTACTTGGTTGTTCAAAAGAAATTTCAGAAAGAACATTTGCTGGAACACATTCTTGGTCTGGGAATAAGACTGGACAATTCAGGTAAACAGGGGAGAGAAGGCTTCTGTCCCAGCCTCTTGCAACTGAGAGATGTTGAAGGAAATTCTCTTTTCCCTCTCTGAAGCCAGATGTGTTGCTGGGATGCTGATGGCATCACTCCTTACCCGATCAGCAGCAGAGAAAGGCATCTGGCAGTTTTAGCAACCACTGCGTGCTCTTCTGGGCAGCATTTGGCACCAGACTGAAGTACCCAAACCCAGTTCCATGCCAGCAGATTTCAAACTGTCCCCTGGCACTGCATGCTCTGCTAGTCAGATGTGTCCCTGGCCCTCAAGCATGCTTTGCCTTCTGATCCTGGTACTCCACATTATTTAAGGAAAGGAAGGAAGCAGATAAGGAGAGTGAGGATAGTTGAAGTGGTGCAGAATTGAGAAACTGCTTTTCTTTCCTACTGCTGATTTGTTGTTCAGCCAGTGCTCACAGCTGGGAGTCCTGAAAGCTCCTGGGTTACATTCCAGTGGGATACACATGTAAGAAACTGCAGTGACACACACACATCACTGTGGACATCACCAAGCATCACAAATTAGATCCAGCCATGCATTTGAAGTTTACAGAGAACTCTCACAAATGTTTAGTAGCATAACAAAGAGCTGCTGAACCTATCCCTTGGGAGAAATTAATCACAGAAATGATAAATGATGGAAAGTAATGCTAATCACTGTTAAAAATTCCCCCTTTGAACCTTCACTCTGCTGGAAAATGAGTAAGGATACAGATATTTGGGGATGAAGTCTGGGTCTGTCTGTAGCTACAGGAATCAGTTGTGAGTCTGCCCCCAGGTGTCTGCATCCTCACTGGGAGGCTTTAGGTAGACTCTTGCTTTTCTCAGAAGCCAGTGGTTTTAAGGAGGCTCATGGCTTTGGCTTTTTCAGTAGCATCCATGGACATTTGTGTCAGTTGTGCCACTTCCCCACAGGCAACAGCCTGGAGGATCGTTAGATCCTGAAGCAGCAGAGGTGATTGGTTATTTCTGTTCTTCATTGCTTGCAGACAAGCAGGGCAGTTGTAGATGATGGAACAATGAAGCCACCAGATGTGAGGAGGCTGCAGGTAGGTCTAAGCAACTTTACAGGGATCTGAAGTCATGGAATTTTGAATCTGTCCCCATGTCAGGCCATAAATAAAAGTGTCAATTCCTGTGTCAAGAAACCTGCCCCAAAGCCTGTATCATATCAGGCACAATTGCTTAAGAGGACACCTGTCTGAGTCCTGTCCTTTAAGGAACTTTTATAAAATTTAAGAGACAGCTCAGGCTTCCCAGGTGGATTTAACTAGAAGAGTGCTGCTCATTCTCTGCTCTAAAACAGTCATATAGAAATTCAGAAAGTGACTCTTCTTACCTGGTCTCGTGGCTAAATTTCTTCCTGGGCTGTCATAGCAGAGGCTGGCGGGGTCTGTCCTTTCCCATAGCAAACACTGAACACTGTTGCTGTTGAATTGCTGCCCCATGGCCTGGAGAGGCCTTGTCTGATGCAGAGAACAAAGCAGCTGGAACTGACTGGCTCTGGTCCTCCCCACAGCCTGGGCCAGGCCTGCAGCGGGGCAGCAGCTCGGCCTCCCTGCACAACTCCCAGATGCGCGGCACCATCGTCCAACTCATGGTCCACACCCTGGACCCCCTGGCAGAAGGTGAGTGGATGCTCCACACCAGAGGGCCTTGGGTTCACAGCCCTGAGGGCTTCCACTGGGAATACAATCAGTATTTTGGGGTCAGCAACTCACCCTTAGGGTGCAGCTGAGTATCACAGATGGTGTCAGGTGTGGGGAGCTCTGTGACAATGGGATGTGCCCCTTCTAATTGTGTGCTGGCAAGGACAAACACCTCATGTTTTGGTCCTGCCATATCTACTTTTCCTATGTCAATCTGGTTACTGCTGTGGTGGTAGCTGCTGCTGATGGGGTCCCTAGAAGTGGTGACATCTCTGCTGTCTCTCTGACTTCAAGGGCAGCAAACCTGAGTTACAGGCTTCCTCTGTCACGTAGCACATCCCATCTTCCTCTTCTTAGCTCAGACCTCATCCCAGTCCTGAAACAGCAGCACAAAAAGAGGTTAAAACCCTTGAAGAATTCTCTTTTTGACAGTGTTAAACTCCCAGCTGAGATGCTAATCATGGTGGTAAGGCCAGTTCTGTGTGATTCAGGCTGACACCTCTAAAAGCCCACCTATCATCACTGACATGGCAAAGTGTGTCCACAGCCCTGTGCAAGCTGTGCTGCTCCCCAGGGCCAGGGAATGACCAGCTCAGGTCCAAGACCTCTTTTAAACTACCCAGGGTGCAGAGAAGCCTCATCTCCAGTCAGACCAGGGTCTTTGTACACAGCCTTTTAATGTGTTGCTTTATATTAACTTTAATCCAATCACACTGTGGAGGTTTATTTTCAAATAAATAGTGAAGCACATTGATAAAAAACATCTTCAAGGTTTTCTTTCCTAGCTCAGAATATGCCCCACCCCTCCACTGCCCTACTTGTTCTAAAGAGATTATCTGCTGCCCATTCAAAGAGAGATTGAAGCTAAGCAGATCAACACTTCTTGTGTGCCTCACAGAGGTTACAAAGAGGACTCTCCAGATCAGAATCCCAGATGCACAAACTGATCCAGGGAAAAAAGGAGGCTGGAGGAGGACAGCAAGGCAGACCAGTGTCTGCTTTGACAGATTCCAGTGCAGGCACCCAATGTGTTATCAACAGTAGCCTAACAAGAGCCAGACTCATCAGGGTTTGTTTCTTGCCTCTTGTGCCTCCAAAAGGCTGTATCAGCAGCACCAGGATAGACCCAAAACCTGTCCCATTGCCTTGAGCATCAGAAAGTGCCAGAATTGAGGGGCTGCTGCCACTCAGAGACCTCCCCAGCACCTTCCCACACCTCTAAATGTCTCTGTGAAGTATTGCTCTCCCCAGGCCACCACAAGTTTGGCTTTCTGATCCCTGGTGAAACTCTGGGACCCCTCAGGAGGAGAGTTGTGTGGGGCTGAGGTTGGCAGCCAAAGGCAAGAAGAACCCTGCCAGTTCAGCCCAGAATAGGCTACTGGGAGATTTCCACTGTCCTTGCTGAAGAGGCTGCCGTTCCCAGGCCTTGTGAATATGGAATAAACAGGACCGGGGACCAGATTGGATCTTCTCTCAAAGAGAATTTCCCTACTCAATACATAGAATCACAGAATCATTTAGGTTGAAAAAGACCTTTAAGATCATCAAATCCGACTGTTCCCCCAGCATTGCCAAGGCTCATCCTTTAAATCCCTCCGGGGATGGTGACTCCCTGTGCCAGGGCTTGAGAACCCTTTGGGAGCAGAAATTTCCCCTGATACCCAACAGCCGGCAGGGTGTGAGTTCCCGTGTGTGTGCGGCAGCCACTAGATGGGAGTGTGACCGTGTGTATGTGCGCCTGCTACTGCAGGGACCGCGCGGGGATGGGCTGCAGCAGCCTCTCCAGAAGGGTTTTCTATCCCAGAGCCTTTAATAACGCCACTGAGTTAATGGCAAAACCTCTGCCCCAGGTACCTGCCTGCTCCACTCAAGGCTGTGAGAAATGAGGCACCGCCTTATAAAATATAACAATAAAATTACTGCTATTACAACAGCTCAGCACTCAAAAATCAAGGAGCCAATGTGTCAAATCCTGTGTGTATGGTGGGAGATACTCCTTAATCTGATAACTTCCTACCTAAAGAAAAGAGAGTTTGGAGAAAAGGAATTTATGTGTAGACTGGAAAACCTAAGTGCCTTGAGGAGCTTGGCCAAAGAGATGGAATGACATCACAAGGAAGGATGTGGGAAAGGATTTGAACCTGCCAAGGCTTATGTGGGGACTTGTGTTCTGATATGTTAATAGTTCCTAGTCCTGTGTTAATAGCCTTGCAGCCCTGTGGGACCCTGGGGACAGCTGTACCTGCTTCCCATGGATCACCAACACCGTCCCTCCCTTTGCTGTGTGTGCAGCACTCTCTGTACCAGGGACATTTCTGTAATAAGGCTGCCACATAAAAGATGATCCCAAAGCAATTTATCTTTCCTCAAGGGCCCTCATTCCTTCTTGCCAAGGCCTGTAGCAACAGCACTTACAGGCTGTGGAAATGAGCACTCAACAGAATGAAAAGGTTACCAACAGTTGCTCAGCTGTTCCTCACTGAACCTGCTGCAATCAGGAATCTGTAGGGTTTCCTTCTTTTGGCTGCCCTCACTTTTTATTTGGGCAGCACAGAAGTGGTTTCAGTGCAGCAAGGTCCAAAACATAGAAAAGCTGCCATCACTGGGCCTCCAAACCCAACTTTAAGGGGCAGAGGTCTTGGAAATACAGTAGAAGTGTGAAATGCAAAGCTGCAACACCCCTTGTGTGAAACAAAATTTCTCTTCTGAAGAGTGGAATGAGTTCAGAATGTGGGGTTATTTCTTTTTGCATTAGGAAGGTATCATTACATAAGTCTTTGTCTCAGAGAGACTATGTGTTTACTTTAGAAGTTCTAATATTTACATGGCATCCTGAATTATATTTTTGATAGAACTTTTTACCTTCAATGTGCCTTTTTTAAAATTAGGAATTTCTAGCAAGTTTGTTCTTTTGTCCTTTTCCCGATTTCCTGGGAAAGTAAGTAGAAGAGCATGAGATCTTTTCCAGATCATCCCATTAAGACACCAGAGGGAACTGTTGGGGAAGTAAAGGGAGCGAGGATTTTGGAAATGCCCAGGAACCCTCTCGTTTCTGAACCTCTAGCCTTACCCCCAGCCTCTTTAAACTCTAGTCACACAGGGAACAAAGCAGAAGCTTACATTTCTTTTTGAATGAAGCAAAAGGCTCCAGCAGAGATTGTCAGAGCTGCCTGCCCTCACTATGCCCCAGTTAACAAGGTAATGATTTTGGAAATTAGACCAGAGCAGTGGGCACTGTTGCAGGCTGGAGAAGCTGAAGGCAGCTACAGCTTCTCCTTGCTTCATTAGCATTTCAGATCCAGAGGGGAAAAAGGAATCACAAGACTATTTTTTATACTTCCACTTTTATACAGCAGAATCTCCAATTCCTTCAGGTTCATGCCAAATTGTAAAGAAAAAATCCTTCCTGCTGATTGTGTTGTCAATCCTGTTAGACTGAATATTAGAGGCAAAGAGTGAATTAAATTTAAGAGTGAAATTCAAGGTAGAAGCTCAGCTGCCACCTGAAGTCCATTCTGGATGCTGTCAATGCATAGGAGAAGAATTCTCCTGGAGAGCATCTCAGGGCAACTGGACCCAGACATGTCCTGTGTGATGGGTTCTGAGCTCTGGGGACAGAGTTGCCAGCAGTGGATGCCCCAGGGGACTGAGAGGGACACTGCCCTGCACAGTTGATCCTGCACAGCCCGGACTGAGCCCATGGACATCCTTCCTCCCCGTGCTGACCTGCAGATCTGGCCAGCTCAGAGCCAGCTCTGCCTCCAATCTCAGTCCCTCCTGCAGGAACTGTGTGTCAGGGGAATTAACACCCTTTTAAACGAGGCTGATCTCATGAGAACTGGACAGTGGCTGGGCCTAATCTGTTTATCCTGACAGAGATGCTCCCGGGCTCCACCCAGCGCTCCCAGCCTGGGGCCTGGCTCAGGGCAGCAAGCCAGGAGCTTCACTTTCCATAATCTCAGGCTGAGCCTGACCGCCCTGACCCTGCTGACAGGAGCTTTTGCAGCAGCTTCAGGGAAAAGCCAAACAGAAGGATGCATTGCCCCGTGCTTAGAGGAGACTGGGAACAAAAGGTCACCCCTGCACTGAGGGATGTGCATGAGCACAGGGGAAAGGAAGCCAGAACTTCACATCCCCTGACCTTCAGTATTGACAAGGAGCATGGAAGAGTCAAGCTCTTGAGTCCCAGCCAGCCTTTCAAAGGAGAAGAAATGATAATTTAGATTAGAAATTCTTACCTGCAAGGTGGTGAGGCCCTGGCACAGGTGCCCAGAGAAGCTGTGACTGCCCCTGGATCCCTGGAAGTGTCCAAGGCCAGGCTGGATGGGGCCTGGAGCAGCCTGGGATAGTGGAAGGTGTCCCTGCTCATGGCAGGGAGGTGGGACTGGATGGGCTTTAAGGTCCCTTCCAACCCAAACCATTCTGGTACTCCATGATAAGTTCATCTCAGCCAACCATCCCAGTGCTCAGTGGAAATCCCAGCTGGTGAAAAATGTTTCTGTCAGACAGTAGCAGGAATCTCACCAGAGTAGGACTTGTCCCCTGAGGTCTTCCTGTCTGAGCTGGGCCCAGTTATTGGATATATACATACAGCAGAATGTACTGATTTTCACAAGGTTCAGCTCAGAACAATAGTTCTGCCCACATAGCTGGACATGCTATTTCTATTATCTCAATGTCACTGTGATTAATAAAATGGCAGGACCCTGCCCTTGAGGCAATATGACAACTGCACCTTATGGGTGCATAGTCAACAACACAGTAGATAAAATCAGTGTGATAAAACTTTCAGAGAAAATTATTTTACAGCCCTGCACACAAGCCAAACACAGCATTGGCCAATTCTTGTGGCTACTGCCTATGTGCAAACCCAGTGACCCTCAGTCATTTGGTGTACAGCTCAACAGAGGACATAGATTAGAGCAAAATGGGGATTTTCTTTGAGCCCATTCTTGTTCACTTTCACTGAGAGTCAGCAGTCAGATATTTGAGCAAAAAACAACTACAGAGACACACAATTCCACAGTAAACTGTAAACCAGTAAAAAAGCAGCTCAACTGAGTAAGACAGAGCTTGGTTCACAGTGGAAGAAGCTCTCAGCTGCCCCAGAAGTAGAGCACCAGACCTGTGCTAGTGAAGAACATCTCTCAGACAGCCTGAACCATGCTTTACCTGGATACCAGGAATTTAGATCAGCTCCAGCAGGAGACACTTGTGTCTACTTAGAAAAATCAATCATTTTCCAGGGAACTGGAAGATAAAAGGTGTTTATTTTCCATTCCCATTAGTTCCCCAGGCTGCAAGCAGCACCCTAAAGCCTCTTCAACAGCCACATGGCAGGGGGAAGGTGTCATTTTTAGTTTGCTCATAATCTAGCCTAGAAAAAAATCAATAGTCCGTTGGGAAGAAGATGATATTGCACCAAAACTCCTCCTCTGTTCTTTCTGCATTTTCTTCCTATAAAGTACAGATATGCTTTGTTTTACTGACCTGGAAAGGATTTCTCATTCCTCTTGATGCCTTGAGAGGTTAGCTAGAACAGAGGCTAGGCAGTGTTACAGGAATAAAGTAGGTATTTATAAAAAGGCCTTTAAAGGATACACCTTGGGCAGTGCAAGCTCCCACCCAAGATGGACAGCAGGTCATACATTTTCACACTTTTATAACTTTTGGTCCATTTCCATATTGGGGTTCATTGTCCAATTACAGCTTCAGGTTATGCAGTCCCATCCTCCCAAATTGCTCTCCTCAGTTTGCTGTTTGTACCTTTTGGGTCTGAAGCTGCAATGCTGTTCTTGGTTCTGGGGCTGGAAAAGGATTGTTTTGTCAGACTGAACTGTGAAGAGAACTTGATAACACTGTGAAGTTCAGAGTTATGTACTAATGCAGTACAGAATCTAGAAAATATAAAAGTTAAAATTTTAAGCATCACTCTAGAGTCTCTTTAAATAGTTCCATGACAAATTGCTGGTGTAATTGCTGTAGCACTAAGCAGTTAAATACAACAGCTATGACCACCTAGCAGCAGCCAAAACCTGAGGTCACAGCTAAAACAAGCCCTGCAGCACTGGCTGCAGCACCTGCAGGAGGAAGGGGGCAAGAGCATGCGTGTGTTGAGGGAGGCAGGTCCAGGGGGGCTTTGCAGTGATAGCCCCTGATGCTCGTGTCCTTCTCACCCACAGCAAAATTGAAAGACAGGGTTGACATCCTGAGCAATGTGGCCAAGGTCAAGGCTGAGACCCTGGAAGGACAAGGCTCCCAGCCAGGTGAGTGCAGGAAGAGCCAGCACTGTTTGCCTTGCTTTGCACTGCAAGCCCTCACCTTCCCAGCACGCACAGCCCAAGGGCAGGCATGGAAACCCTGGGGTCTAACACAAATTTTGTGCTGTTACTGGGCACAGATGGCTGCTGTAACAATGCACCAGGCATCCATCGGGCAGGAGCAGCCATCCCAGAGGAGCTGGTAGTGAGGCAGGGCAGGGAGAGCTGCAAGGATGGACTGGAAATGGTCATGGTACAGTGCAGGAGGGAAATCAGGGCACTGCACACAGCACTGGGTGCTCCTGGTCTTTGGTGTTTGTTAAAACAAAGTACCTTCACACACTTGCAGAAGGGCACAGAAAGTTCCTCCAGAAGGAATAATCTACACTGTATCTCTATCGATTCCAAGGACCTGTGCATCCTTCCTTTAATAGAATCACAGAATCATAATGGTTTGGGTTGGAAGGAACCTTAGAGACCATCCCATTCCACCCCCTGCCATGGGCAGGGACACCTTCTACCATCCCAGGGTGCTCCAAGCCCTGTCCAACCTGGACACTTCCAGGGATGGAGCAGCCACATCTTCTCTGGGCAACCTGTGCTGGGGTCCTCACCACCCTCACATGGAAGCATTTCTAATCTAACATTAAACCTAGATCTGCCTTCTGTCAGTCACTCCTGACACAAAGGCTGCCTTGGAGCCAGAGCTGACCTGTGCTACTACACAGATTTGTACTGCCAGCAAGGCTGAAGATTCTGAACACCAAGAAACTTTGGTATGGAAGGTCCCACCTCCACATGACCCAGGCACCTGAGCACCTTCCAATTCTGGGCCTCACGGAGGTGAACGAGCCCAAATTGAAGAAAAACACTGTTTAAACCCCAAGTAAATTCTTGGTGTGTGCTACAAATACCACACTGACTTCACTCCCTCATCCCTGCTCTGTGTTATCCATATTTCTGCTCTGTTCCCACAGAGGTTTCCGTGTTCCTCTTGGCTATGCAGGTTAATGCAGGAACAGCAGGACATTGCAGTTATTTCCTTGTGTGTGTCAGCACTTTTCTATTTGCTTTTGAATACCCACCAAACGACCAGGGATTAAAGTCTGGCAGCACATCCCGGTCATTTCTCAGAAGCCTTGAAGAGTATCAGGTCCCTGGAGAATGCTGGGCTCTATGGAGGGAGGGGGGAGCTGGGGGTGGAACCTGAGAAGCAAAGCTTTACATCTTTTCTGGGTTTTAAGGATGGTTTTAACACAATCTTCAGAATCCAGAAAGAAACCAAGAAATTCTCTTCAGCTGTAGATGAGGTAATTAGCATTTCCCAGCCCCTTACAGCAGTTCTGCATGGAAGGTCAGAGGAGCACCAAGGTCTCACTCTGTTCCAAGTGGGCCAAATTCTGCCAGATCTGCCAAACACAACCACAGCAGTCAAGGAGGACACACACCACCCAAAGCAATCTGAGGGTACTTAACCCGAAATGCCACCACTGTGGTGGGGAGCTCAAAGCTCTTGCTGGTCACAGGGAAGGTGATGCCCTGATACGGTGGCCACCCATCCAGGATGACTGAAACCAGCATTCCTTCTTATTGCTTTTGCAGAAGAGGGAAAGAAAGCACCAAGCAGCGTCCAGGTAACTCCTGCCAGTGACTCTGAGCCCAGCAAAGGTACACAGAAGGCAGATGTGCCACAGGATGGACAGGTATCAAAACCAGGAGCACAGGCACTAAGTGCCCACCCAGGCTGACCTTCATGTGTACTTTCCTTCTTCCCTCTCCAGAGCTGTTGGGACAGGACCCAACCCATGTTCACATCTATAAATAGGCTCTCTGTGTAGTAATTTAAGATGCTGGATGAAACACTTTGGCTTACAAACACAAATTGGGTCCAAATTACGACACCAAGTGTTACTGGATAGTATTGTCCCCTCAAGTGACTCTTCTGAGGTCAGAGGGTACTCCAGGGTAAGAGGAGATAAGAGCACCTGCCTGTCCCGTGCTCACCAGCAGACTGTTATGTTTTGCTCCCCAGATCCCTTTGGGGTGATGTTATTTGGCAGTTCCAATGAAAAAAAGGTTTTTTCAAGGACATGAAATATTTGTGTCTAAAAGGTGGTTCTAGTTAATGGATGTCCATTAGTTAACAACACGCATGTACAGGGTTGGGGTGTATCTGGGTCCTGTCTCACAGGAGCTGTGGCTGCCCTCAGCAGGTTACAAATGTGAGCTCTGCTCAGGTGAGGCCACAGTGAGTAACTGCAGCTCCTTGGTAGTGTGAAAATATATTGGCTTTTTGATTTTTTATTCTGAGGCACAGCCCCCGTCGAGCAGTGACACCTCAGACGACAGCAGCTCCGAGAGCCAGGAGGACAGTGATGGTGACAGCACAGACGGTGATGAAAATGATGAGCCCTTATCTCTGGAATGGCCAGAATCAAGGACAAAACAAGCAATTTACCTTTTCCTCTTCCCCATTGTCTTTCCTCTCTGGAGCACTCTGCCTGATGTCAGAAACTCGGTAAGAATCCACCTTCCTTCTGCTCCTGGAGTCATTAACTGAGCTATAGATTTCCTCTGGGCCAGATTCCCTGGGTCCATTTTTCCATGTCTGGAGTCTTTGCATAGTTTGAAGGGCTGTTACTGCTGCAGGGAGTGGGACAGGAGCCCCAGCTGCAGTGTAATGCCATTCCAGAGACTTAATTTAATAAACCACAAATTCTAGCAACTACAGGTCACCCAATCAAGCTGAAAAACAGCAAACAGAGACCAGGGTCCAAGTTAAAGCAATCAATTACAGTGAAGTGTTCCAGGTGAACAGTTTTCAATGGGGACTATTAACTTCCCTGAAACTTCTCTTTTTTTTCTTTTCAAACTTGATTTCAACAGGAATCAAAAAAATTCTTTGTAATCACTTTTTTTGGATCCATCCTCTGGATTGCTGCATTCTCTTATCTCATGGTGTGGTGGGCTCACCAGGTGAGAGGTTTTGTTCTTTCTGCAAATCCCCATTTCAGAACAAGTAAATGGAGAGGGGACAGTGTTAGTGTGGCATTTTATCTGATGAATTACAGCTGCAGTCATCCAACACAACAGTAGAAAATTTGTTTTGTTAGAACCCAAAAGGGAATTTTTGATTTCCTTTTTTTTTTGATTTCACAAAGACTCATTCATTTCTGAGAGCTTCCAAGGGAGTTTGTGCATTAGTGAAAGGAAAAGCACCATCAAGATTTATCTTAATTCTGACTTTTCATTAATGAATGTTTCTGTGCAGAACATAATTATCCATTACCTAATTAAAATTCTAGGAAAATACAAGTTCTGATTCTGGAAGCTGCTAACTGTTCTTCACTCCCCCATCCTAATGTTCACCTCATATTCTGGGAAATAATAATTCCATCTTGTAGGAACAGCCCCCAATCTGTATTGAGTGATATATTGCACATGCACAGTGATCATGCCATAAATTCAAGGACTGTCATTGCCAAAGGCCCTTAGATCTTGCACAGCTGATGCTAAATTTGCAAAGGTAGACAACATCCAGAAGAGGACTGAGGACAGGAAAATTGTGCTGTAGCTGACTTGACCTCGCCTCAGAGCTGGCATCACTGTGGTCAGATTTCCTACACTACAGAGCAAATCCAGAATCAAAAGACACAGTAAAATGGAATTTTTTAATCCTATAAAACAGGAAAATGCTGCCATATTTGTGGGACTTGGAATATTTTAACTCAAATATGGCACAAACCCTAACACTGCACAGAGCAATTATACTCCATGTTCCACTGCTAACAGCCCTACCCAATGCTGTGTTGATTAGGTTGGTGAAACAATTGGGATATCAGAGGAAATTATGGGGTTGACCATACTGGCAGCAGGCACATCCATCCCTGACCTCATCACCAGTGTCATCGTGGCCCGGAAGGGCTTGGGGGACATGGCTGTGTCCAGCTCCGTGGGCAGCAACATCTTTGACATCACTGTTGGGTGAGTACCAGGGCCAGGCTAAGAGCTGCATTTCTTCTGAAACACAAAGTTACCTGGTTTGAGACCAGACATGCCTCAGTTAATTTCATTTTAGCTGTAGTTAAGAGAAAGGCAGCTGAACAACCAGTTCCTTTTGAAGAAGCCCAACCCAAATCCAAATGCAAGGAAAGACAAACTGTTATAACTGAGCCCACTGTCTTCACCCGATTCACAAAATCACCAAGGAACACAAAATTAACAATTTTTCAAGACAAAAATGCAAGACAACTTTGGCTAATGTCCAAAATATACAGGCAGGAACCTTATGTGGTCACTCAGAGACATTCAGCTCCTGGGGGTCAATATCAGTGCCGGCATCCCCCATCCTAAACCATCAGGACAATTCTTTATTATAGCTCACCAAGGCACTTAATTCTTAAGTATTATTTTCAAACCATTTTACTCTAGGATTGCATTATGATAGTGCAAGCATTATCCAAATGCAGCTTTGACAGGAAAAACATCCAGTTTAGATTTATGCTGAGCTATATTGAACACAATAATGCATTTTTTCCCTGTAACAGTTTGGAAAAATTGCTTAGTTATGATATAGATAATGAACTGCTTTAGAACACTTATTTCATTACTTTTCCCTTCCTTGCAGCCTGCCAGTTCCCTGGTTTCTTTTTTCTATCTTCAATGGCCTCAGCCCCGTGGCAGTCAGCAGCAATGGTTTGTTTTGTGCAATCGTTCTCCTTTTCCTCATGCTCCTGTTTGTGATTGTCTCTATTGCTGCCTGTAAATGGAAAATGAACAAATTACTGGGCCTCACCATGTTTGCTCTTTACTTTGTGTTTCTGATCATCAGCGTGATGTTAGAGGACAAGATAATATCCTGCCCAGTATCTGTATGACATGTGGACTCTTCAAGATGTGTGTGAGGATCCAGCAACATCAAAAGGGGGTTGAGGTAGCAGTTTTTCTACTGAAAAAAAGCAACCAGAATTGTAACAAACTTACTGAAAACAAGATATCTTTAACACGCTAAAAAATAAATCAATCTTAAGTGGTGTGTCAGCCTCTACTGTTTTTCTTTAGGATCAGAACATATACTGAAATGACCAACATTAAACAACACACACTTAGGCACTTGCAGAAAGGCTGATAAAATTTAGATGCATCAAATTTTCACCATGGCTAATCCTCTCAAGTTAAAGGAGCTGATTTTCACCACAATATTTACTCATCATAGGGAATTTTCAGGAACATGCTCTAAATTAGTCAGTGAACTGCTCAAACTCCCTGAAAACAATGAATTTTACTTCAGTGGGAAGAGAATCAGACTGATGTGGCTGGGCCTTTATGGAACTGCTCTGCTTAAATCCCTGTGTGGATGCACAGGCTGCAGCTCAGCAGAGAACTCCCTCAAACTGCACTGAGCTCCTTTCAGATCTGTACCTGATCTTGCAATGCAGTGCCTAAAATTCCTGTGAAGTGCCATGGCTACAGGTGTGAGCAACAAGACTGAAAGGCTCGGGGGTTAGAGCAGCAAAAGGCCTCTAATCAAAACTAAAGCCAGGAATCAAATACAACAAGGAGCTGAATGCTGGGGGTTTGTTTTCATCCTGACACTAATCTCTGACAGTTACCGATTATTTAACCAGCACTAATTCCTCTTGTTAACACTGACTTCTGCAGAGATAAGAAGAAAAAAATGTCACTGACATCACCAAACCTGAGAGGTTTATTGTTAACACCTCATGGGAGCACACAATGTGGTTAAGAGTTGCAGACATTTCTGTCACTCTAATCAATCTAATAAAATGTTAATTGAAATAACCAGAGAGATTTTAAGCTTTTTATTGACTCACTGTAAAACTTCTTTTTTTTTGGATGAGACAGAAAAAAAACCTTAACATTGTGAACATTGACTTTGCATATTTTAAAGGAACTACAAACCAAAGCAAACATCCAACATACTGGTTTTTGGTAAATAAAATTTAAACATTACATATTTACAAATCTACAACCATTCATTTAAAAAGTGCTGCTTGCAGACTAACAAAGTACCATTTTTTAATCCTAGTGAGATAATATCCAGAAATACCCCTCTCTGTTATTACTATTTGCATCTCCCATTTGTTACACCAAGATTTTACATGCAAGAATTTTCTCTTTCTTGGGATACAAATAATTTAATTTGCCAGTGGAAGTCAAATTCATCAGTCTGTAACTGTACCAACAGCAAGCCTCCTCAAATGGGACACAGCAATGTCAGAGAAACAGCACAATTTCTATTCACATTTCAGTATTTAATCTCCAATAATTATTCCAGTGGAACCATAAGTAAAGCAAAATATATATTGCACTGCAAATGTAAAATCTTTGTTTCAGGTTTTGGACATAAGCCTTATTTAGTACACAAAAGGAGAAAATTCAGTTCATACAAAATTTTAAATTGAAAATATGTCTCAAATATTTCATTTATTCATCTTTGTGGTATTGGAAAATATAGTCAAATTGCTTTTCTAATAAAGGAAAGTAAGATTTGAAAACTGTTTCAACACTAGATTGTATGATGTTCTAAAAATTATCAACCTCAAGATATGTTTGGAACATTGTGAATTGAATGAGGAAAATTTCCCACTTATAGTATGTTGTTATTCCAACTACTTTTATATATTTCTACAGTGGACTGACTTGCAACAGACTTTATAAAACAATTCATTAAGTATAATGATTTCACTTGATGAGCTACTACATGATAGCATAATTTAAAAGCACACCCAAATTAACATTGGCAATGCTTCAGGAGAGCCACGCTGGGATGCAGAACAGAGGGATTGTGTGAAGGCTGCACGGACAGCCCTGCTCCCAGGGCAGTATCCACTCCTGACAGCGCTGGGGGATGTGGGAAAGAATAAATCTGCTTGGGTTTCTAAGTCTGAAGGCAGCTGGAAGTCCTTACAAGGAAGCTGGGACTAGGATGGAGGAAGGGCCACGTGTGACAGTGTTGCCCCCACACCTGCGCCGTGTCCTGGGGATGGGGACCGGGCTCGGCTCTTCGGCCACCCCACAATGGGAGTGGGAAGCTGGGTCATAGCTCAGCCCCTCTAACACCCCACAGCAGCTCTGGAAAAAGCACTTGCTCTCTCTCCTTTCATGGCCTGAAGGTCCTATAGAACAGTGGCTGCCCCAGTGGAAATGGGAGACAGAACTGCAGGGAGCTGGGAACACGACCTTCCCCACGGCACACCCAGCTATGAGCTTCAGTACAGCAACTACTGGAGGCAAGATTTCCATGGTAATGCAGCATTCCTACTGTACAGAGCAGAGCAGCCATGCACACTAGGGGGTACTTACAGGGAATGTGTTCAAAAATAGCCTGTTTATTTCACAATAGTTCAGGGGAGTGAAGAGAGTATCTCTACCATGTATCTCGGTGAAAAAAGGAACTTCATTTCATGCAAAAGGAGACTGTCTGTACAAGCGTGGCAGTAAAAAGAGCATCACAAATTGTTAAAATAAATTAAATGTGAAAGATGTTGCGAGTGTAGCATTGCTAGCTCCACCTCAGGTGGGGGGGGATATGTTCAAAAAGGTCAGCTACATAATTAGCAGCACATTAGAGAAGAGGCATTACCCAATGGAAGCTGTATCCAAGACTGCATCCTGCAATTACCATCAGCACATACCTGCAGCTCTACACGTTTTAAATCCTTTCTTCTTAGGGCAGCTTCTTCTTACAACTTTACAGAGGTCTGGGAGGAGGTTACAGAGCTTCATAGCAGCATTACTTTTCATTTAAGCCTCCAAGGCTCGTTCTATTTCACTTAATAAAGTAAATATGAGCTTTAAAGTTTATCACCTTTCTGCCTAAGTATTGCTGTTTTATTATACTTGCAAACTAAAGATGTTTTTAAAAACACCTACTGGTAGGCAGACTGCAATATAAAATCTAATAGTTGAATATTTGGAAGTATTATAACAGCAACAACTAAAATTAGGAGTGGAAAATCATTAAGATTACTTAAAATAAAGCTATTTGTTAAAGCATGATTTAAATTTGTTTAGGGTGTTTTATACAGTTCCATGGCTGCTTTCCCACCTCCATGCAAGACTTCTGGTATTTTCCCTGTAGCCTACCTTCTGGTGAGGAGTTGCTATGTGACTGAGAGCACAGAACGTTTTTCAAATGTCTAGAACAAGAAAACATGAGGCAAAAGCCATGACTCCACCACAAGGACTGATATAGCAGTTTTCTTCAGAGAAAACAAAAAGTTGTTTTGCCTGTGAAACAGAGACAGAACATTCCAAGTATGTTTAACTAAGCACAATATGCCCAAGTAACTTCCATTCCCTATAATTCCCTGTAGCAAGTTTGCTGGATGCACTTGAGTTAGCAGCTTTGGATGGGCATTATGTGGTGTTGTACTGAGTGTTTCAAACACAACCACCGAGACTCCGAGCGCTGCGTGCTCACGGAGAACTCTCTGCAGGCTGGCATTTGCTCTGGGTCACACCTGGAATGAGGCCACCCTAACAAAAGCCAACAGCTGAGATGGGCTGATTCCATAACAAAATCCATAGGACTCTTCAATGTGGCTTCCCTTTCCTAGGGAGTGGGGAGGGAAGGGAACACGAGAAGAGGAGATTTCTACAGAAGTGTTTCACAGAGACATCTGTGTATTCGTTAGAGTTTTACAAAATTTACCATACCTTCCTTCTGATTGCTGTGGTAACACGTTTTCCAAGTGTGCATGAGAAAAATCCTGGATCTCCAGTACTGTCTAGGTGAAGGTTAACATTTTCTATTCTGCTTTAAAAACAAATCACTCTTCAAAAAGTAATTGGACAAGTTACTATAAATAGCAGTGTACTGCAAAAAAAATAAGCACTGTATTGCTTCTGCAGCAAGTCCATTTAAAATTCACTCCAGTAATTTAAAAAAATTAAAAAAATATCAACTTACTATAAACAATTTAAAATATGTATAATACAACTTTGTATGCTCTTCATAACATCATGAATATTCTATGTAAACAATAGATTCTGAAGAATTTCCTTCGCTCACATTAGTTTCAGTGCATTGTTTCTGTCCACCTGTTACTTAATAATTTTTCTTTTAAAGGGAGCTGTAATATATTGTCCCAAATCAGAGAACTGATTTTGTTTAGAACCTGCCTCTCCACACACCGATTTGCAGAAAGGACAAGGGACAGGGAAATAATATTTGGCCCATTTTGCTCTCTGTCCATCTCCACAACCGCAGCCAGGCCGAATTTCCCGAGGCCTCCTGCCAGTCCATCCCACGCACGTTCCTGAACACTGAAGACTGAGATGTTCCTTGTGACTGAAGTGGTTATTTTACACAGGGATACGTCATAGATATCACCTCTTTAGCCAGGTCCATTTAAAGATATGGTTCTCCAAAAATCTTTCTGCATTCCATCACTCCAGTGCTGGGTGGTCTGTCGCAGTTATGAGTGTTCTTCACTTGATTAGCGGTGAGGCGATCATAGGCCATTTTGTACTCTCTGTCAAAAGCATCTGCAGCAAGGGAAAAACAAGTTTAGATACCAAGCTCAAAAACACCACAACAGCTGCATTTATCAGCACAAAATATCTGTAAAGTCCTTTTTTTATCTGGCACTCACCACAGAGTGGCACACATCTAATCTACAGATTATTTTTTTCTGGAAGCTGAACACTTAAGTTTGCATAAACTCATCATCTGTGCTCATTTGAATAGCTGGCAGAACTCACCTATATCAATATTATCTCTTCCCAGGGCAACAAGTGAAAGAAACAGTATTTCTCTGTAAAGGCTCCTGAAATGGTAAAAAACCCCAATTTATATACTGCAGTGATACAGCACAACACAATCTCTATTAAAAATAGACTGAAGCATTTAAAGACAACTTATTAAAAAGAGGCATTTTGAACATAATTCCTGATTATGACTCCAAAATATTGTCATTTCTGAACTCTGGAGAATGCCCTGGATTCCTCACATATGGATATTACCCATGGCAGGTCCCCTGAAGTTTCACCAAGTACAATGCAGAGAGA